CCCAGGGCCTCTGGGCACCCCGAGAGGCAAGGATGCACAACAGCATTCTGGAACTAAGTGCCATTCGTTTTGCCTCCCGGGCCTTTCTGCCACTCCTCTGTTCCTGCCATGTCCAGGTGTTGTCCAGCAACATGGCGGCGGTCGTCTATGTCAAAAAGCAGGGCGGGGCCTGGTCCCCCTCCCTCTGTGTGGAGGGCATTCACCTTTGGAATTGGTGCCTCCGGCACAGCATCACCCTCCATGCTGTACACCTTCCTGGCATGAGCAACTTTCTAGTGGACGAGCTCAGTCACTTCTTCCATGCCAATCATGAGTGGGAAATCCACGATCTGCTCCATCTTTCGCCAGTGGGGCATGCCTCGATGGGACCTCTTTGCCACAGCAACCAACCACAAACTTTCCACTCTTCTACCGCCCTCAGTTCCAGCTCGCAGGGAGATGCCTTTCTCATTCCCTGGACCAATGTGCTCTGTTATGCCTCCCTCCCCCCGAATTCTCCTGCTTCCCCAGGTCCTGTGCAAGATCTGGCGGGATCGGGCAATGGTCACCATCACCTCCAGACGGCGCATCAGTGAACTGGTAGCCACAATGGTGGGATTGCCCTTCACCATCTTCCACCGTGACAAGGTATCCCTACCCCTTCATCCCAAATTCCTTCCAAAAATGGTCTCCCCATTCCACCTCAACCAGTGTGTACACTTACCCACCTTCTAATCTAAGCCGCATGCCTCCTTTAAGGAGTGCATGCTGCACTCCCTCAATGTCTGCTGAGCACTAGCCTTCTACCTCCAGCACACCCGTGACTTCTGCGTCCCCCCCAGTCTCTTCCTCGCCATCGCTGACCGCTTTCGAGGCTGCGCTCTCTCTCATCGCAACGTCTCTCCCACTGGATCTCCAGCTGCATTGCGGACTGTTATGCTCCCTCTGGCTCCCCCCCTCCGCCCCCTGCAAGGAGTCACAGCCCACTCCATGTGGGCTCATGCTGCCACGTCAGCTTTCCTTGCAGACGTCCCATGGCAGGACAGGTGCCAGGCAGCCACTTGGTCCTCCAGCCAAACCTTTACCACTCATTATGCCTCACCCCGCCATGGTGGCGGATGCGGCTGTTTGCTTTGCCATCCTTCTGACTGTGACTTCTGGAGAGCCCTTGCACCCGCCTCCGCACTGAGTACTGCTCGCTACTCTCCCGTGTTTGGAATCCACATAGGGACCATCACATGAAGAAGAAGAAGAGATTACTTACAGTAACTGGAGGTTCTTTGAGATATGTGGTCCCTATCTGGATTCCAATCCCGCTCTCCATCCCCTCTGCTCTGGGCTTTGCTACTGCCTGGTAAGAGGGAACTGGAGTGGCGTTGACCCTCATGACCTCTTAAAGCCTCGGATGTCGACGCATGTGCGGGTCAGTGGACACTACTATGAAAAGTTCTGGCACATGGCACGCATGTACACCCACGTTTGGAATCCAGATAGGGACCACACATCTACAGTAAGTAACCTTCTGTTATTATTCTTCCAAGGTTCCAAACCTGCAAAGATTTACAGGTAAGTATGTTCATAGGTCTTTGGGAGGGTCAAGACCCAAGTTTTGAGTTTAAGATTTTCTACTTTTCCCCTGTAAAAATTGATAACATAAACAAACATACCAAACAACGCAGAATGCAATATCGTACTATTTTTGATGCTTGGTGTCACCAACTGCTGGAAGCATGTGTAAAGGGAAAAGTCATTTTCGAACACACACACACACACACACACACACACACACACACACACACTACAAAGTAGGTAACGTTTAAACTAATTTTAAAACACCAGCTATGGTAATGAGTTACTAATTAGTATGCAATAGATGCAACAGATAAGCAGATAGCTCTTTAATAACATGTGACATTCAAATTAATGGGTTTTATGCACAAGCACAACTGCAGAATCAGGGTCTAAGATTATTGTATAGGTCCTGTGCAAGCTAGAAAAAAAGAGATGGCTGAAATGTTGGTAAGAGTGTTTGTTTCAGGTGCTCAATAATGTAATTTCTTGTTTTATGGTATATTTGTGTGGTTCCCTGTAGTAGATTTTATTGTCCAAAGTTTTGTTCTAAAATTACATTGCCATTTTAAATATACATATATGTTCTTTTAATGATTGTGGATTTTAAAGTCTGTAAATGTAGCTTTCAGGTTATTAACCTCTGACAGAAAATGCAATGGCGCTTACTGAGTTATTGATCTATATATTCTGATTTGCCCTATAGCGGATTATGAAGACACTCAAAATGAAACACTGATGTAAAGAAAAGATGAAATCTTGTGTTAATTGAGTTATTTGGCCCAGGACTCAAAATTCATTCCTGTATTAATCTGAAACCTTAAACTGGTTATAAATTAAATGATCACATTTTGAAAAATAAGTGCCTAATCTTGCAAACCCTGACTTATGTAAGGACTGACACGTGAATAAGGGTTCCTCCAATCAAGCCCCTAGTTCTTACAGAATATATGGTGTGGTAGATTGTTTTAAAATGAATGCTAGTGTTCATTGAATAATTGCCAGATTATAGTGTGATAATAAAAAATTGTAAGAGATAATGTAATATTTGAGCTCTTTGATGAGACAGTGTTTGGCCTGGCATCTGTAGCATCTTTTTCATTATTTTGAGGTACAAGACCTTCTATTTAATGGGCTCGGTTCTTGTATTCCCGTTAAAGTCAGTGGCTAAATGCTTAATTTTCCCACCTCAATATTATCTAAATAATGTACTGTTGTGTGGAATTTCCTTGGGTTGCCTAGCCAATATACCTAGATAACTCCATTCTGCCCAAACAGTGACTGGGTTTGCATGCCACCAGGTTGAAAATGTTACGCATTCTGCAACGTGTTGTAGCTTTAAAGCTGCCATATAGGAGTGGATGCCTATTCCCCCAACAGGGGTAGTCCCGGGCAAGCATAGTTTATTTTGTGCCAGTCTCTCTTGCCTTCATCTGATGCCAGGGGGATGCTTGTGGGTGGGGAGCCAATTGGAAGGTCTCCAGGGATATGTCTACACTGCAGTTTTTAGACCTTCAGCCTGAGCCCCAGGAGCTTAAACCTATGTCAATTGACCTGGGCTTTGAGACTTGCTGCTCCAGGAATTTTATTGCAGTGTAGACTTACCCTAGGAGACTGTTCTACCCAGCAGCCCAGTGGCTGCTCTAAGTTGTGCAGAGGGCCAGGGTTGGGAGATTTGGCTCTGAGACACCTTAGTTTCCCTCCTCTCAGCATGACTCAGCTCAGTAATGAGCCCAAAGTTCTCAGCAGCAACAGGATCACACCACTTCTTGAAAGTGAGAACAGGCGTTCGCATGGCCCTATTGTGGCCGGTGTTGCAACATATTTACATGTCAGATAGGCTAAACATTCATATTGCCCCTTCATGCTTTGGCCACCATTCCAGAAGACATGCTTCCATGCTGATGATGCGTGTTAAAAAAATGCGACAATTAAATTTGTGACTATACTTTGTGGGGGGAGAAATGTATGTCTCCTGCTCTGTTTTACCCGCATTCTGCATATATTTCATGTTATAGCACTCTCGGATGATGACCCAGCACACGTTCGTTTTAAGAACACTTTCACAGCAGATTTGACAAAATGCAAAGAAGGTACCGAAGTGAGATTTCTTAAAATAGCTACAGCACTCACGCAAGGTTTAAGAATCTGAAGTGCCTTCCAACATCTGAGAGGGACGTGACGTGGAGCATGCTTTTATAAGTATTAAAAGAGCAACACCCTGATACGGAAACTACAGGACCCAAACCACCAAAAAGGAAAATGAACCTTCTGCTGGTGGCATCTGACTCATGATGGTGAAAATAAACATGCATCAGTCCGCACTGCTTTGGATTGTTATCAAGCAGAACCCGTCATCAGCATGGAAGCATGGCTGGAATGGTGGTTGAAGCATGAAGGGACATATGAATCTTTACGTGCTTACCCAGCAAGCTTGAGATGACCTTGGCTTTGGCAGAGCAATATTGCAAGCGGCAAGACTGTGAACTCTGAGCCCACCTCGGTGGATACTGCTAAAATATCTTGCAATGCCATCTACAACAGTGCCATGTGAACGCCTGTTCTCATTTTCAGGTGACATTGTAAACAAGAAGCAGGCAGCATTATTTCCTGCAAATTGTACCCAATCTTGTTTGTCTGAGTGATTGGCTGACCAAGAAGGAGGACTGAGTGAACTTGTAGGCTCTAAAATTTTACATTGTTTTATTTTTGAAGGCAGTTTTTTTGTACATAATTCTACATTTTTAAGTTCAACTTTCATGACAAAGAGATTGCACTACAGTACTTGTATGAGGTGAATTGAAAAATACATTTTTTTTTGTTTTTTTTTACAGTGCAAATATTTGTAATAAAAATAAATATAAAGTGAGCACTGTACACTTTGTATTCTGTATTGTAATTGAAATTAATATATTTGAAAATGTAGTAAACATTCAAATATATTTAAAATAAATTGTATTCTATTGTTTTTAACAGTGCGATTAATCATGCAATTAATTTTTTTAATCACTTGACAGCCCTAATGTATATACAATTACATTACTACCTTTATCATCAAAAGACATGCTATATCATAGAGAAATAGAGCCCCATTCAAGAAGTTATGAAAAGTGAAGCACTCAGCATATGCTTGCCATTTCAGTAAAAAAAAAAAAATCCTCTGATAAAAAGCTTAAAATAGGACAAGAGAGAAGGATGAAGCCACTTTAATGTGTCAGGCACATAAATTTAATCCTGTGACAGTAACAGGGAAAAGTTGTGTGCTATTTGTTTTAATAACAAGCAAAAATGCCATCTGTAACAAGTTACTCAATAAATTCTTCTTTTACATAAGCTGTGTAGCTAAGGGGTGTGAGGGTGGAGAACTTATCATGCTTCTCCTTAGAGATTTATATTTGCATTGTTTCTATAGCAACTCAGATTCAAGGACTAAATCTTTAACTCCTTTTTAGGCTGCCAGATGGTTTCACACAGCTTCTAAACTTGACCCAGCTCTACCTAAATGATGCCTTTCTGGAGTTTCTTCCAGCTAACTTTGGAAGGTAAGTTAATTGTTAAACCACATCACCACTTCACAAGCAATTGATTTAGTTTTAAAAGATCATTTAGAAGCAGTGTGCATGAAAAACAAAAAATATATGATTGTTAGTCCCTGCAATCCAGTTTTGACGAATGATAGGAGGTAGGAGTGGAACTGGTTTCAGCTGGGTGGTTGGGGAAGAGATCTTGAGTAGTGGGGAGCTGTTAAGTGAGTTAGGAAGAGATGGATGTGGGAAGAGGAGTAGTGCCAAGCTAGAGGACAGTAGAATAAAAGCTGTTAGACTGATGACCTCCAGAACTAGCTACTGTGTGCCAGCTTGGTTTACTGCAATACTTTGATCCAGCTTCTCAGTGGCCAGTGTTTGTGCTTCTCTTTGCTTGTTCTTGACCAAAAGTGACTGCTACTTTTTGGTCAAAAGGACAGAAGGAACAAAGTAAGATCTGTTCTGGTAGTGTCTATTTCTGGTTGCTTCCTCTGGTGAGGAATCCAAGGGCTGCCAGTCAGGAAGAAAGAAAAAAATTAAATGTGTGTGGCAGAGTGAGCCAAAGTAGAGATGTGAAAGTGAGAGCCAGAGAAGAAAGAGGAAAAAGGGAATGTAGACTGTTTGATAGAGAGAGAGAAGAAATGAACAGAGTAGTAAGAAGACAAAGCTGAGAAAATAGAAAAATAGAAAACCCAGGAGCAGGGGGGAAAAAAACTAGAAATAAGAGAAGTTGGAGCAGGCGATACTTAAAAAAAAGCTGAGTCTGCAGAAACAGGGTAGCAAATACAGTTTGAGTGTTGGCAATAAGGATGTTGGAAATGCAATATTGCACATGTTGCCCTTGGAAACTGCCTTGAAGTTGGCTAGATCATTGACCTGGCAATGTATGCGCAATTCTTGAATGCTTTGTGGTAGATGGCAGACAGTACTAGCTATGATTGACCACACAGTAATTTGAATGGTGTTTGGACTGAACAAATCATCACTGTTTGTTATTTCACTTTTTTCTGTTCTGCTCTCTGCGTGTGCAGTGTAGCCACTCCAATGACTGCTGAAAGAGACAGGCTAATTTCAAGATATTGCCAGCATCTCTGTTTGGATTTCCACCTCAGTGTAACCAATTGTAGGCCCAATCCTGAAGTCCAGATTTAAATAGAACTTCTATCGCATCAAGGGAAGTTTTGCTTGAATAAGGATTGCAGGATTTTACCCTGTATTACCATACATTGTGTACGTACAGTAAATATGTAAAGTACACTTACCTTATGTGTTGAGGCTATAGAACAGGGGTGGGAAAATTTTTTGGCCTGAGGGCCACATCTGGGTGTGGAAATTGTATGGCGGGCCATGAGTGCTCATGAAATTGGGGATTAAGGTACAGGAGGAGGTGAGGGCTCCTGCTTGGGGTGCGGGCTCTGGGTGGGGTTGGGGATGAGGGGTTGGGGGTGCAGGAGGGTGCTCCGAACTGGGACTGAGGGGGTCCGAGGGCAGGAGGGGGCTCAGGGCTGGGGCAGGGGGTTGGGACGCAAGAGTGGGTCAGGGGTGCAGGCTCCGGGTGGTGCTTACCTCAAGCAGCTCCCAGAAGCAGCAGATGTCCCCCATCCGGCTCCTATGTGGAGGCGCCTTTCCTGCAGCTCCCATTGGCCGCGGTTCCTACGCATAGGAGCCGGAAGCTCGAGGGCTGGATGAAAACATCTGGAGGGCCAGATGCGGCCCTTGGGCCATAGTTTGCCCACCCCAATATAGAAATTGTCATACATGGTGGTGTGGTATAAAGGTTTTATCAATTTGGGTTTGGGATGATCATACTATTCATGAGTGGTTAAGCCACAGGTTACTTATGCAGATGATCTCAAATGAATGTTGACAAAATCTTTCATGTTTTTTGTAAGCTGCAAAATATGTTTCAGAAAAAACTATTTTAGGAATACTTTTAGATTTATTTTAAAAAAAGGTGTATTGGGAGTATTTCTTGTAACCTTCTGCGTATAAAGCTGGTTGCCTTAGTTACCATGAGTCTGATTGTACAGGGCTCAGAGGGAGCCATAAAAGCTCTGATAATAACTTAGAATAGTTTTTCTATATATAAAAAAGTCATGACTTCAAAGTCTGCTATCTTAGGAAGTAAATGCTGGGTCCCATTGGTAATCTGGGAATTTCTCTTTCCAATGGTATTAAACCTTTTTCTAGCACTGCAGGATAATGAGGTATTGAATTTTAAGCTGCTACATTTTTTGTACTTCAAAACACTGACCCAGAACTGAATCTTACTAGTCCTGGGCTTTGGACAGGAGTAATTTGAGAAAAAATTCCCCCTTAAAGAGAAACAGGAAGAAAAATGTTGGCTGTTTTAGCTTGCTCTGGGGTTTGAAATAGGGTTACCATATGTCCGGTTTTTCCCAGACATGTCCGGCTTTTTGGTAATCAAACCCCCGTCTGGGGGG